ATGTTGACAAGGTTCACAATCTTCTATGGCAGTTTTAATATCATCAATGATGAGATCTATTCCTCTGTCCCTCGCCCATTTCAATGTTCCCTGCACACCCCAATGTCCAGCAGTAACGTGAGCCCATTTGGCTAATCCAGGACTTGATTGTCTTACAGCCTGAATTTTCACTATCTTATCTACAGTCTGATTATGCAGGGATTCAGGATCATTGTTATTAGTATGAGCATCCACATGTAATACTGACACAGGAATATTTTGGCATTTCTCCCAAATGTCCTTCCATAGGTCAGCTCCCCAAACCTCTTTTGAATGTATCTTCCATTGTGTAGCATGCCAAGTTGGCATCCAAGTTAACATTCCTTGGGCTACTGACCAGGAGTCAGTATAAATACTTACTCCCTGCACCCCAGCCGCCATTATTACCATGTGTACTGCTTTCAACTCCGCCCATTGACTACTCTTTCCTGTCCCTGTGAGTTCCATAACTTGTTGTGTACCAGGGTTAAATGCCCCAGCCTTCCATTTCCTGGTTCCTGCCACATATTGACAGGAACCATCAGTGAACCAGGCTCGCTCCTGCTGCTCTGGGGTGAGTTCGCTCCATCTTACCCCCAGTTTCACAGGAGAATCCTGGATTGGTTTTACCTCAAAAGGCACTTCATCCATTTCTGGAACGTCTGCCACTTGCTCGTGGAGCATTGATACTCCTTTTTCTCCTGGTTTCATTCTCTCAGAAACATACCACTTCCATTTTATGATGCTAGCCTCTTGAGCTACCCCTATGCGGTGAGTTGTAGGATTGCTCATGACCCAAGTTAGAATGGGTATATGTGTTCTCATCATTACTTCATGCCCCACAGTTTGGGCTTCTGTTTCCAACAAAGCCCAATAACATGCCAACAACTGTTTTTCAAATGGAGTATATCTCTGTCCTGCATCAGGCAATTTCCTAGACCAAAAACCCAAAGGTTTTCTGCACCTATCTTGTTTTTGCCACAAACTCCAGTTAGCATAATCATTTACTGCAGAAACCTGTAACTCCACTGGTCCTGACAACATCTTCCCCAAAGAAACAGCTTGTTGGATTGCCTCTTTAGCTAGTTCAAATGACTGTTGTTGATCAGGCCCCCATTCAAACTGCTCCTTCTTCCGAGTGCATCTGTACATAGGCTGCAAGATCTGTCCTAAATGAGGTATGTGGTGTCTCCAGAACCCGAACAACCCAATATACCGCTGAGCATCTGTCTTATTCTGTGGTATTGGGAACCGTGCTATTTTCTCTTTAGCTTTAGTTGTTATCTCTCTTTCCCCTCTATTCCAGATAATTCCCAAGAACTTCACTGACTGTGCAGATCCCTGCACTTTCGCTGGATTTATCTCCCATCCATGATTCTTCATATGTGTTATCAGAAGTGGGAGCAATTGCTCAACCTCTTCTTTAGTGTTTCCCTGAATCATGATGTCATCAATGTAGTGTGATAGCAATATGCCTGATGGGATCTTTAAAGTCGACAGATTTTCAGCCACTATCCTATGACAGATTGTGGGTGAATGCAAATACCCTTGTGGTAATCTGGTGAAGGTGTACTGTCTTCCTTCCCATGTAAAGGCAAACTGTTCCATCTTGTCCTCAGGGATAGGTATGGTAAAGAAAGCATTGGCCAAATCTATCACCGCATACCATGTACCAGAGTGATGCTGCACCCTTTCCACAATCGTGATAACATCCGGAACCGCAGACGTTAAAGGAGGAGTATGTTTATTCAGCGCTCTATAATCCACAGTCATTCTCCATGAACCATCTGATTTCTTCACTGGCCATAAGGGATTATTCCACCGTGTGGTGCATGTTTTCAAAACTCCTGCCTCCAGATATTCTTTAATAGTGTCCGTAATTTCTTTCTGACCCCCAGGCAACCGGTATTGTTTTTGTGATACCACCTGTGTTGCTTCAGGAATGGGAAAAGGTGTCATTTTGACCTTGCCTACCAAAATGGTGTGGATTCTGTTTATACCAAAACAAAATCGACCATGTTTCAGATGAAGAGTCATTCCGGCCAATATATCCATTCCAATAATCCATTCCCTTGCAGGAGCCACTACTACACTGTAATTTCTAATAGGTTGATTTCCTATTTTTAAGGGCAAAGTTACTCCCTTTCCTACTAACATCTGCCCCCCAAGTCCAGTCAAAGGTACAATGTTTCCCTTTATTTTATCAGGATTGCCATGAATTACCGAGGCCTCCGCCCCAGTGTCAACCAATGCCATTACTGTCTGTACTGATTTTTTCCAATAAATCTGTAATTCCACATGTGGTCTGATATCATTTATTGACCATCCTGAGGCACTGGCAACAACCCGAGCTTGACCTTCATCCTATTCATCATCATGTTCCCTTCGGTGCTGTTTTTCCTTTCTACGCTTCACTGCCGCCACCTGATAACACTCATCTGAACTCTCCTCCTCTGAAGATTCCTTGGGAGGGGCGGAAGGTTCAGCAGGCTTCGACGCCACCTCCCTGATCACATTCTGCAACATTCCAGCCAATTCTGACACAGACATCCTGTCGTCCTTTTCAGGACAATGTCTGAACTGACAACGGACCTTCAGTCCCATTTGTCTGCATTTCTCCATCAATGCATTAGTGGGCAATCCATCAATCTCCTCAAACGGCACTCCCGCTTGTCGCAGTGCCCTCCACAAATCTGTTCTAGAGGGGCCCATTGCCCCCCCTTTACGACCCCTTGAACGTGGATCAATCCTGGGTTTATTTTCAGTTCTAGCTCCCTCTCTCCTCGTCTCAGACCAATCACCCAGCGTGGTGAGTTCGCCAAGACGATCTTTTATCGCGGCAAAAGTCTGGTCTGCCGCGCCAAACAACAAGCTGGTCACCATGGGTTTATAATGTGGTGGGGCATGTCTGATGAGGTGATCTCTAGTTGCCTTAGAGATGTTACAGTCCACCACTCCAGCTCCCCCGTTTCGAGCCACTTGCTCTCTAATAGTGAGTCTGGTGAGCCGCTGAATGGCATCTCTCACTGTCTGCCATTGCCCTTTAATCTCAGACCAGTCCGCCGTGGTAGGATAGATTACATGACATGCCAGAGCATATGCATCCCCCACATTGAAATCTTCATCAGCTGGCAATGCCCGGACTGTAGCCCGGTATTCAGCATTTATCTGTGCATCAGTACTTAATCCTGAAAATCTCATGGCATCACCGGCATCTATGGCTATATCACACGCGCCATCCTCCATAAGGCGATTAAGCCAGGAGTCAGTTGGTTCGCCTGGGCGCTGTTTCAGCTTCCCATTCATGTGATTTAACTCATCTTGTGAATAATCCTCTAGCGTTGTTAGCAGCCTAGGGGCGGGTTGTGGCTGCTGTTGTAACATCCTTTTTATATTACCCGCCTCATCGAGTTCCGGCCGTCCCTGATCATCCACCATATCTACCAGTATTGGTGGAATAATTTGCTGTTCTCGCCGACGCCTAGTAATAGGTCTTTGTTCTGACATCTTTATCCCCTGTAATGATGGATACAAGGGCTGAGGTGGTGGGTCAGGTTTAATCGCCCACTCCTCCTCCTCATCATCCCCCCAAAGATCCCCGTTCCATTTCTCCGGGTTCCAATCTTCACCAACATTCTTTACAAACGCCCGGATCTGAGCAGGACCTGTTCTACGAGGTCGCTTCTTTTCCTTCCTTTGCGCTCGAGACACAAAAGTCAGCGTTTTATCCAAAACATTCTGAGCATGCTTTAGCTCTTTCCCCATCACACACACTCTCTGCTCAAACTCTGAGCATGATTTTTCAACTTCTTCAGCATGGATTTTCTCCTGCGCCGCTCGCTCTCTACAACTGCTCAATTCTAACTCCTGTTTTTTCCATGCTTCTGCAAAAAGCCACATCATATCTCTCACTCCTGCCAGCGGCGCTTTTTCTTTAACTTCTATCCGCGTCAAACGGTCCAGCACCACGGCGGGGCTGACCACTCCATTTAACTCTCCCCACGGCCCAGGGCGTCCACCGCGCTGCCTTAACATATCACCAATGGTTCGGAACTCCTCCGTTTCCCAGCCGGGAATCGGCACGGGAATCGGCGTTCCCTCCCCAGAAGCACTCGGCTCCTTTTTGCTTCTCCAAAAACACTTCATTGTTGCTGGAATAGCTTGACTGATCCTGTTCGTGACGCCAAAAATGTTCTAAAATAAAATGTTTTATTTTATTTTAATTACCTTAAAAGACTCAAAGTCTCTTTTTACACTTTATATTTATTTAATCAGGATCGTTGTCAAGTCGACGCCAGAAACAATGAAACACAACTTGAATATCAGATGAACAACAAGGCTTTATTCAACCGGCATTCATACAAGTTATCAATCATGAACGAAACATTTCTCTTACCGTTGCTTATGGGTGGAGAGCTGAACACCCCAGTTAGAAAACGTAATCCATGATAGGTGAAGAACTGAACACATGTAATCCATGAACCTCGTCAGGTAGAATCCTCCAAGCAGCTCTAACCCCCCTGAGCCCTGCTCTGCTACTTATACATTCCCTGATGTGCGTGCAAAGCTGCACACCTCTACCATGATTACCTTGATTATATCCTCATGATCACATTATGTTCGGCTCTACCATGATTACCTTGATTATATCCTCATGATAAGTGTGATTGACAAACAGTAGTGATCAATAACTTATATAAAGCAATTATACAACAGATGACAAGTTCATTTTTATTACATGTCTTTTCCGAAGACTGCCTCTTGTCGGTCACGTCGGTTATGACGTGACAGCGACTAGTCAATGACAGGCATAAAAAGTCACTACAGAGCAGCGAAGTCGACTAGTCACTAGTTCATACAAGCCCTAGTGTATACGCTCTGTATGACACACACGTACACACACTAATTATAATGATCTGCTCTGATGTCATACAAAGCTCCGGTTTCATCTTCTCCCGCTCCTCTCTGGGTTTGTCTGACAGTCTAACTCCTAGAGAATTCAACTCCTACGGCTCCCGCAGAGGAAACGACGCCATCATGGCCAGAGGGACGTTCGCCAACATCCGGCTCTTTAACAAGTTCCTGAACAAGCAGGCGCCACAAACCGTTTACCTGCCAACCGGAGAGACGGTCAGACTGGAGCAGCGTCAGAGCGCCTCCATGTTTTTTCTGTCCATTCACACGATCTTTATTTATTAACCCTCCCGCTGTCCTAATGGGTGTGACCCCGCGAGGACAGTTGACCATTGAGCAGGGATGATGGTTTATCCCTTGGGTCCACGTGGCAGGGGTGAGGAGTGAGCATCACCTCACCCCTGCCACGTGGACCTCAGCGGGAGGGTTAACCCAGAATGGATCAATCAGCCAGTCAAACCTGATTCCATCCTCCTGAGGTGAGAAGTCACACTTTGTTGTTTCTTTGTTATCCAGCTGGATGTGTTTGATGCTGCAGAGCGGTACCAGCAGTCTGGTATCCCACTGCTGGTTCTGGCAGGAAAGGAGTACGGCTCAGGAAGCTCCAGAGACTGGGCTGCTAAGGGCCCCTTTCTGCTGGTGAGACACACAGCAGTACACCTAGTCAGCTGCTGCTCATCAGAAGTCGATCTTAGAAAGTCCGGTTGTGTTTTTAGGGAATCAAGGCGGTCCTAGCAGAGAGCTATGAGCGAATCCACCGCAGTAACCTCGTTGGGATGGGGGTGATTCCTCTGGAGTATCTCCCAGGAGACACAGCAGACAGCCTGGGCCTGACCGGCCGAGAGCGCTACACCCTCGTCATCCCTGAGCCGCTCACACCCCGGATGGTCGTCGATGTGAAGGTGAGCTGTGAACACACACACACACGCACACACACTCGAGTGATGTGTTGATGTAATCCTGAAAGTCTCGTCCTTCGCCCCACAGCTGGACACAGGAAGAACATTTAAAGTACGGATGAGGTTTGACACCGACGTGGAGCTGACTTATTTCCACCACGGGGGAATCCTCAACTACATGATCCGCAAAATGTCTCAAAACTGATGTTTTGTGTCCAAACGACAGCGGCAACGCTTTCTGTGATCTACCTGTGACCTGAAAAACCTCATCCACACATTACTCCCAGAACCGATTCATGCTCTTAATTCTTAACGATGCAGCTTTAGCTCTGATTGGAAATGGTGAAATGTGTGTGTTTGTGTTATGTTGTGGACATTAGAGCGTGTGTTTCTGCTGTCTGACCTGCAGGTGGCAGTAAAGGAAAACAAACACAAAGTGCTGATGAGAACTGGATCATTCTGCTGTCAGTTTCATATCATTAAAACTAGATTTACAAAAGCACCCTGACGGACCCTGACCCAGGCTCTGGTGGAGCAGGGGTCCAGATTAGACCCTAACCCTACACTCAGTGAGATGGGTTAAGTACTGGGATCACTGTACACGCGTCGCCATCATTCCACGGTTGTCAGTGGCAGCTTTATTGTCCGATTTTGTTATGAAATGATTGTTTTCAGTTCTAATACGGTGAATGTTTGCGTCACATTTTTCATGTTTATTAATCCAAAAGCATAATGCCAGAGTTTCTCCTGAAAAGAATAAACATGTCTTCTCCTGAGCTGTTCTTTTGTCATTCGGTCCTGTGAGAACTTATTTTAAATGTGTTTTTAAATCAGTTTCTAATGTGAACATTTAGTTTTCTGTGCAACCCCCGACAACTCTTCTCATATCAAAAAAGGACCAAATGAAACTAGATGGATTTATTTTAATAGGCAGCCTAAAATAGCCGTTTTAGTCCCATAAATAGGCTGCTGCTGAACACGACCCCCTCTGGAGTTTGTGTCAGGCGCTGGTGGAGATGAAAGTCAGCCACGAAGGAGCTCTCTAATGACTGAAACATGTGACACGAGGACAGGAAGGGAGAGTTTAGTCGTCTTCGCTGTTATCCCTGATGTTGCTTCCTGTTGTTCACTTCCTGTCAGCCAGCTCAGTCCGAACGAAGCACTTCTGCTTCCCACTAAAGAACGAGGGTAAAAATAGACCGCCGCTTCATTCTAGTTACTTCCATCTAACGTTTTTTGTGACTGTTTTGCCATCTCTACCGTGGTTAAATCTTTGCAGCTTTCTGTTTCCTCGAACGCATCACCCTGCAGAACCACGTCTGTCTGTGGGTGATGGTTTTGGTTTAGTGTCTGAGGCCGTGATGCAGACGCTGAGCCGATCTGTCGAGATGAAGAGGGAGCTGAGCCAGAAAGCCAGGCTCTCGATTTACCGGTCGATCTACGTCCCAATCCTCACCTATGGTCATGAGCTTTGGGTAATGGCCGAAAGAACGAGATCGCGGATACAAGCGGCCGAAATGAGTTTCCTCCGTAGGGTGGCCGGGCTCAGCCTTAGAGATAGGGTGAGGAGCTCGGACATTCGGGAGGGACTTGGAGTAGACCCGCTGCTCCTCCACATCGAGAGGAGCCAGTTGAGGTGGTTTGGGCATCTGGTCAGGATGCCTCCTGGACGCCTCCCTGGGGAGGTGTTTCGGGCATGTCCTGCCGGCAGGAGGCCCCCGGGTCGACCCAGGACACGTTGGAGAGGTTACATCTCCAATCTGGTCTGGGAACGCCTTGGTGTCCTGCCGGAGGAGCTGGTGGAGGTGGCCGGGGAGAGGACGGTCTGGAGCTCCCTAGTTGGGATGCTGCCCCCGCGACCCGGACCCGGATAAGCGGAGGAAGACGACGACGACGTCTGAGGCCGACTGAGGAAAGAAACTTCAGGGACGATGGCTCAGAGAACTTTAACATTATTAAGCATCAATAAACAGGTTCTCTGACACCTATCGTTATCAACTTCAGGGTCCTTGGGGGGGGCACCATTGGGTCCTTGGGGGGGGGGGGCACCATTCCAGTAATTAGCAGTTGCCAACATCACAGCTGAGCTTCAGACGGCATGTTGTGGAGTCTTATTTCCTGATATTTGGACATCTCGCCTCTGATTGGATAACAGCAACGCAACTCTACCGCTGACTCTGTAACATTGAAGTTTTATCTCAACAAATGTTTATGTTTATATATTTAGCAGATACTTTTGTCCAAAGCAACTTACAGGTGATAATGACACAAGCCTGGAGGAGCTTCTGCTGTGTGGAGAAGTTGCTAATGCTAACAGTTAGCTTACACTAGTTGGGACGTTCTCTGAAGATTCCTGGACACTAAAACAACAAAAGATTGGTGAGTCCACTGTGTGACGTATGGATGTAGTTTCTACAGCTGAATGAAGATAAGACTGAGATCCTCATCTGTGTCCCAGACAAGCTGGTTCCCAAAGTCAGAGACTCTCTTGGTCAGCTTGCTTCTCACACCAAACCCTCTGTCAGGAATCTTGGCGTGACCTTTGACCCAGCTCTCACCCTGGATTCTCATGTCAGTTCTCTTGTTCGCTCTTCCTTCTTCCATCTCAGGAACATTGCTAAGCTGAGTCCCATTCTGCCCCGCTCTGAACTTGAGACAGTTCTCCACACCTTCATCTCCTCACGCTTAGACTACTGTAACTCTCTTTTCACGTGTCTGAGCAGAACCTCCCTGAACCGTCTACAGGTGGTTCAGAATGCCTGTGCTCGGCTTCTGACCAAGTCCTCCAAACACACCCACATCACCCCGCTTCTCCTCCAGCTTCACTGGCTGCCAGTCAACTTCAGGGTTCATTTCAAGATCCTGGTTCTGGTCTATAGGGCCTTACATGGACAAGCACCATCTTACATTGGTGATCTTCTCAGTCCCTACACCCCCAGCAGGTCCCTGAGGTCCAGTGATCAAAGTCTACTGGTTGTGCAGCACCAGGCTAAAGGTCAAAGGTGACAGATCATCTGCTGCTGTGGCCCCCAGACTCTGGACCTCCCTCCCCCTGAGTCTGAGACCAGTGGACTCAGTGGTCTCCTTTAAACTCACCTGTTCAGGCTTTGGTGGGACCTTCATCACCACCCTCTCCTTGTTCTACTAGGACCAGGCGGAAAACAACCACTTGTGTTTAAGCCTGTTTCCCATTAGAACCGTCCAGAAGCTCATCCTTTGGCTCTGCTGCTGCTTGCTAACGTGTGATTGGCCGTTCCTGCCACTTGTGTACTTGACAGTTCTGCATTCCTGACGTTGCATAAAAGAGCCTCTAGGTTGTAGTTTTATACATACTTTTTGTACACTTACTGTAATGGCTTGTGTAAAAATTAAAACGATGATTGTTGCTATAGTGATAGTTGGTAATGTGTAACGTCAAAAAGGGTAAATTTTCACCCATATATTGACCAACATAGTGACCTTTCATCTACAGCTTGAATCCACTTTCTGTGTGGCCTAACGGAACCAGAAGGTTCTGTTCAGCACATGTTGACATTCCATGAAGACAACACGTTCAAACAAACATCCTCTCCCAAGGTCCTACACTCTCTGCATGAAAGCCAGACGTCAACATTCTTCACTCTGAATAAGGCCTAGTCCACACGTAGCCGGGGTTTTTTAAAAACAAATATCCGCCCCTCCAAAAACTTGCATCCACACCACCTCGTTTAAAAGAAACTCTGTCCACACGTACCCGGATAAATACGTTGTTAAGGACATGCCAGACCTGTAGGCGGCAGTACTTCCCCGTTCTTAACCTCGTCCTTCGTCTGTGGTCTTCAGCAAGGAGCAGTAATTCCTCTTGCAAAAACAAACAAGCAGAAAGCGCTTGGACAATTGATAAAGCGAGCGCAGCTCTGAGGGCTTCCATGCTGTCGGCTAGTGTAAACACAGGTCGCACACGTGATGTCAGCATTTTTTGTCGCGGAAAGTGACGCTGCGGACCTTAAAACTCCGGTTTTGTCTGTCCACACGCAGACACCCAAAACGGAGAAAACGCAGATCTTCACTTTGGCCGGAGTTTTTAAAAAGATCTGTTTTCGTGTGAAAAAACTCCGTTTTCATGTGGATGACAGGCCAAAACGTAGAAAAATATCTACGTTTTGGCAGATCCCCGGCTACGTGTGGACAGGGCCTCAGTGAAGTTTCCATGACTTTACAACTCATAAGTTCAATCATCATATGTGATGAATGAACAAGATGTTTAAATCAAATGTTTGAATATGATCCACTTGTATCACTGATCACTATGTGTTCGACGTGACAAGTTAATCATCATCTGCACTCGTACACATCTTCATAAGATACAAGTTAAGGTTAAGGTTCACCTCACATAACGTTTAAGGATTATTTATTCACAGTGCTCAGAATCTTGCGTTTGAAGGAAGGCGTGGGATTCTGAGGGATGTTGATAAATAATCAGAAACGTTTCAAGTTCTGATTTGCCAGAAATCATAACACTGTGGTTTATTAAAACAGGATTTACTTCCCAAATAATTCAGTTTCCAGCTGAAACCCGATTCGGCCAAATCGGGAAAGAAGCCTCTTTTGAAACCATCTTCTCTGACCTCCTGTCCAAGCCTCTTTGCAACGCTGCGGCTGATACCAGACAACCAGCTTGTTACGGCCCAGGGCCATTTGGGTTTTTTTCCCCTCTATGTGTGTGTGAGAGGAGATGCAGCACCTGTCTCCCATCTCACTAAATTGCCTCCCAATTAGACTCTCCCAGCTGATCCTGATCCGCTCTGCCAGCAGCATAAAAGTCAGCCAGCCCTCAGTTCAGGGAGCAGCAGGCCTGGGAGGTTCTCTCTGGTCTGCTGTCTCCTCAGCAGCGTTTGGTTTTGTTATAGTATTATGTGACAACTTTGGTGGGTGCTTAGGAAACTCTCTCTGTTTAACCGTCAGCCTTTTTAGGTGTAAAGGAAACTTTCCCCTTGCTTTAAATAAGACATCACTCGGTAAAAAGGAAAGTATGTGATGGTCTTTTGTAGTTTGGGTATTAATTTGGTTAATATGAGAGTTTTGTTGTTACTCGTTTTGTGTTGCTGCTGATGTGTCTTGTTAATCTGTGTTTTGTGTTTATATTTATGTAAATAAATATTGTTTTGATACTTTTAACACGAGAACATGCGTCCTCAATTGTGACCCCAGGCCCCCTGGACAGCCTGGATCGTGACATCAAGCAAACATCAACCAACGCAAATAAGCATTCCAGCTTCCAGCCTTCACCTGGAGGGATCTCCGACTGGAAGGGTCCTATCGGAACGATCTACGGGTTCCTGATATCAGAGCTCACTCCACCGGCAGTGACCAACGACACCCCCCCCCCCCCCCCCTCCGGATCGAACGAGAACCTCCACACCAAGGGTGCATAGTAGACTTTGCACGACAGATTGTGTCTGACGCTGTTTTTAATACACAACTCTCTAGTTTATAACAAACAACACCCAGAATTCACAATTTCTCTCGGATACAAAGAACAGTTGCTTCAACATCTAGTTTCCATCACAACACCTCACATCCACCACACCACATCTCATTATTCATATCTTGTTAAGAATAATTATTAGTTTAGGAAAAATAATTAAATTCATTTATAAACTATATACTGACTCTGTCTGAATTAATACGAAGTGTGTTTATGATCCCTGAAAAAGCAAAGAACCCTAGAATCTTCTGATTAAACATTCAAGGATCAGATTGATTTTCCATATAAATATGAAAAATCAATCTTATTGGTCATAATTAATGTTTAAAAATTGCTACATATTAATTCCAACATTCTTAAACTGTTTACATTTTTGTTTAACGGTTTGTGTTTTTCAGCAGCATGCGTCTATCAGCTGTGCAAACCACCGACCCCTCCCTGTGGCAAACTTCCAGCATCTTATCTGTGAACACTACCAGTAAGGAAAAGATGCATTTGTAACCATTTCTAGATCTTTATAAAATAAGTACAGCACGGTCAACACCTTGTTGTCATAACTCTTTATATTAAAGTGATCTGTCCCAAGTGAGCTTCCATAGTTTCACTAATTAAACCTCAGAGCAATAAAATGAATCATCAATGAGTTAAAGTACAGAAGAAGTATAAAAATAATTGTGAGGACCAATTTGGAGTTGACACCTCAGTGGGGACATGTGGCTGGTCCCCACTGTACAACACCCCCACCCCACCAATCCTTGGTGTCAGAGCTGTGGTGTGATAAACTGTTTTTTAGTTCAGGTTAGGAATAGCTCAGTAGTTAGGGCATGGGTAGGCAATAGGCAAAATGCATGCAGTAAACTGATTTGAAGTCAAATGTATTTATTGTATTTTTGTTTTGCACACACACCCCTCCCAGCCATCAGCACGGTAGCGGAGGGCTGTTGGTGTGGGCTGGTGTCACCACCACAGATGTATCTAGGGCGTCTTGCAGACCTGGAGTGTGAAGCAACGTGAAAACCTGGCAGGGTTTTAAAAGAGGAAGGCAACTTCCTGTTACTGCTGCTAAACATGACTCAGCAAAGCAGGAAGTAGCTAGATTATGATCATGCTTGTGTGTGCTCTTGTGTTTTATTAAGATGCTTTATTTACAACTCGATAAAAAGTCCATTTTAATTTATTTATATCCAGAAATAAGAAAAGTAGAAACATCTTTTGATGTCTTATCATTTAGCATTTATTGCTGTGCTTATTAGCGTTTTTGCAGAGGAAATATTAATGCTTCACCATCACGGTTAACAGCACGGTCATGTCACTGATTATGTACAGGCAGTGGGCAAAGTTCAACGTGCTCTCAGTGATAACTTTCATCTGAAACCGAGCCGAGTCAGCGTGGAGAGCCGGAGTCCCTCGGCCTTCTGGCTTATCGGTCTGTTTCACTGCCTTTACACTAAAGAAAAACATGTCAGAATATGAAAACGCAGGAAAACAATGTTTTGTTGTCCTTCAGCAGTCCTGATGGTGTTCTGCGCCACATGCAGAGAAAAAAAAAACATCACAACTAAATGTTTGTCCGTGGACCAAACCGGACGGAACGGTTTAAAGTTCTCGCTAAATTTTAATTGTTAAGATTTATTATTTAATGTCTCCAAATAAATAAGAACTTCAGAACAAAGAGTAGGGTGATGGAGACGAGCAGCAGGTGAATGAGCAGTCTGCCGGGCGAAAGCTGAGACGAGTGACTCCTCCCCTTCTCATTCATTCTTCATGGCGCACCACTCTGGTATCGGATACTTTTACTCAAGTTTCTGTTTTTATAACTTTGAGGCCATTTGCTTCCCATTTTTGTTGTTTTAAGTGCTTGAACAGTCTCACGTAACGATACTGAACACGCAGCGCTGCATCACATCTGACCTGTGAGGGCTTTCTAACATCTACTTTAACCATCGTTGCATCACATGCTCTTGGGTCCATGTTTTAGACCTGTTAATTCCATGTAGGACTTGTAATACGTGTGTTTGCTTCAACTCAGAGCTGAAATGCCCAGGATCATCTTGCCGTGTGATGATTTGGTCTGGAGCTGAAACCGTCTGAACAGAAACACCACTCTGGGACAGGAGGGACGTGTACCACCAGAACTCGGTAGTGTGAACATGCACAAAGTTCAGACTTCACCAGAAACACAGCAGAGGAGGAAGGGCTGGACATGCAGATTACTAAAGCAGGAGGCTCATTTGCAAATATTTGAATTATTCAAAACATTAACAAGAGTGTGCTTAGATTTACATCCCTCCTGTGTAATGTTGGGACGCAGCGACATCATCTCTGTCAGAGTGTCCTATAGAGCTCCAGACATCACGTGACTCTCGGAGAGTAGACGCCATGTTGGCAGGCAACAAAGGTAAACAAAATGAACGGGATCGGCTTGGATTTTACTTGGTCGGAGTTTACTTCACACTTTAAAACCGAAGAAATCATTTTATATAGTCAGAAATTAAATAGACTAAACATCTCCGACCCTTACCGTGCCCCTGGGATACTTTTTAAAAACGCCAGAAGCTGTCGGAGCGGACCTGGCCGGGGAACGCCTTGGGATTCCCCGGAGGAGCTGGCCCAAGTGGCTGGGGAGAGGGAAGTCTGGGCCGCTCGACTTAGGCTACTGCCCCCACGACCCGACTCTGGATAAGCGGATGAAAATGGATGGACAAATAACATAGATTTACATGTAAGTAGTTTAAATAGAGTGCTGTGCTGTTTGAATGTATAAACTGAACTCCAAGAGAAATCACTAGTCTGATTTTTTTCCGTGAATAAAATAAATATGTCAGGCAGGAGCGTCTCAGGATCTGTCTGAGATCTGTCTCGGTGAGACAGATAATAGCAATCTAAAGTGCTTTTTATGTGTGATCTGACAATTGATCAACCATTGCTTATAAATTAAATACAGCTTAGCCGGTTAATTGCTGTGATTATAAAACACGTAAAAGGCAGCACGCAGAACTCACGAGGCAACGTTTTACGTGACGTTTACTTGTTGCTATGAGTAATAAGACAGAAAAAGCCACGCCAAAATAAGTTTAGGAAGCCCACTAAGAATCGTAATAAAAGCATTTAAAATAAATACCATACACAGTTGAGGAAACGTTGGTTTAAGTACCTGATATGAAGCGGTCGCTGCATAAGCGAAAACCTTTACTCTTGGGATCCCACAGCTTCATTTTCAGCCCGGTCACTAGCGCGTTTTATTACAATGATCCAACGTTTGCGGCGCTCCGGATCTTGGGGAATCCTATAGATGGCTCATTCCTTATGTCGTCCGCGTCTGTTCTGCATCCTGGGGCACAACAGGAATCTACCACATTTTCCCGTTTGAGTTTTCTGACAATAACAAATAGTCCAGCTGCGGGCTTCTGCCTGCCAATATGGCGCCGTTTCGATTTGAACTGTTGCATGCCGGGAGAAGTGACGTCAACTCCCGGAGCTCTATAATCTAATAGTTTATATAAATACACACATAACTGAGTCCCGCTCCTGCAGAGTTAATTTTCAAACAACGCTAAGTGGAATGTTTGTTTTCAAGCTCTTGTTTTGAAGGGAAACATCAACCCCTCTCAGTTATGAAACGAGCATCATTATATCTGTACTAAATCTACCAGCTATAATAAACTATCTAGAGTCCAAAGTCCGGCTGAAATGTGTGACGATGAAATAAAACATCCAGATAAAAGGAAAATAATTATCAGTGTGATTTATTCAATAAAATTCAAGTAACACATACTATAGTGCCATTTGATGACTCAGTTAACACAAACAGGTTTCCCCTCTTCAGCTTCTCTGCCCTTCATGAGAGCCCCTCTGGAGGCGCCCCTGAGATGATCATTAAGATCGACTGTCAGTGAAACGTTCACACACCGGCTCGGTTCCTCTCGGAAACAGAACTGTCAGCTGAGCTAACGTGAAAACGAGGTGTGAAACCTTTAAAGTGCACCATAACAGCATGATCACAACCAGTCATTCATGTGTTCATTCTGTTTCTCATTCTGACATAAACAACGCCACAGATCCCACCTCTGATCTTCCTCTTGTGTGCAAGTGGGTGCAGATAAATGTGCAGATTTCCAAACATCTCTAAGGTTAACATGAATAGCACTTAATGCCAGTAGCACACAGATAACGCGACACACCAGATAACGTCCTCAACAGAAAACACTTCCTCTGGACTCATCCCCCTCCACACAGACAGACGGGTTCGGTTTCCAGATAAAAACAGTCTGGAGCCGCGGAACATCTCGGAACACGACTTCTGTTGAAGGTAGAAATTGTAGAATTCGCTGAGTGGAAACAGATGTGCGGCTGAATGTGCCCGCAGAAATAAAAGTGCCGTGGGTCGTCTCAGTGGGCCACAGGAGGGGTCAACAGCAACAACCCGGAGAAGTAAAAACGTCTGCCCATTCCTACCACATTAAATCATCAATATTCCACTCTTACGGGAGATTCCAAAGTGCTGCAGGTTCCTAAACACAAACATAAAGCTTTGCTAATTACAGTTAGCTTACAAAGCTAACGCTACAGTCACTCTTTCCGTTTTCAGCTAAATGACGACGTAAACGCAGAATCAGAACCTTTAGAAGATGGGAAATGACATGAAATGATTCTAGAACTCATTGACATCACCGATAATAAGGCCAGGCCTTCTGTTGTGCAGCTTTTAAAAAGAAGCTAAGCTAAGCTAAATACTTCTTTTGTCTAACGCCATCAGATTGTTACTGTCAGGCTGAATCGGTGGAGGTTCTGCTCCTCTGAGACTCTGACCTGTGTCAGCAGGTCAGAACCAAACGCCGAATGGAGGCTGCGTATCTGCTACTACTCATGTAGTACAGTAGTACTTTCTGCCCCTACAAAACGCATCTGATCTACTTTCTGACTTACTTCACATTCAGTCAGTTTAAAGACACAACGTTTTGTCTTAAACGTGTGAATGATGATTAAGAATCCAGCCGATGAAGGTACGATCATCTCTCCACTAACAGCTCATTTGATTTGGGAGGCTGCTGTGCATCGTACAACAGGGCCCAGCTCTGAGAACGGCAGCCGTAGTTTCAGTTTTCACGATGCAAGCCCTCGCGGTACAGCTCCATGTGTTCAGGGTATCTGCAGGTTTAAGGGAGCCAAATTTAAGACTTTTTAAGACCTTTTTAAGGCCACTATGACCAAATTTAAGCTACTTTTAAAATTATATTTAAGCTATAATTTCCAGCTATTGCCTGGAACCGGTTCTAACCACGTCGCAAACGTGGGATTAGCCATCCAGTTACCATTAAACTTGCACTTCCCCATGGCGCAAGCTCCCACTAGCTTAACCAGCTAATGTGCTCATTTAAAAATAGTCCCCTTTCACAACCAACTGCATGTGTACGGTTCCGCTTACGCCAACATCGTACACAAAAATGCTGAACACTAACTAGAAATTCGCGAAATTTTATAGAATTAAAAGAATCTTGTTTAGTGGGTCTTTGGTAATTTAAGACCTTTGGAAACTGTATTTAAGGATTATTTGTCATTTTTAAGGATTTTTAAGGCCTTAAATTTGGAAAAGCTAATTTAACCCTTTGATGCATAATGGTCACTACAGTGGACAGGTACCCAAAATTGTTATTTATTTTTGCTATTAAGCACAGCTGTTGAAGACTTTATTGCATGTGAGCCCCTCTATTTGGACTTCAGCAAGTCAAGCCAACATATTTCATGTTCAGAATGCACGCTGTCCACTGAGTTGGACATGTAATAATTTGTAAATTATTAAATGTTACAAAAAATATTAGTTGAAATTTGTTTCATTCACACCTAAAGATGAATGAAAAAAATTGTTCAAAAAAATCATGGTTGAAGATTTCATAATTCATGCATCAAAGGGTTACGACTTTTTAAGGACCCACGGATACCCTGCGTGTTGGCAAAGAGCATCCGTCTGTAATGTGTGAGCACAAAGCTCTAACTGGTCTGAGATCATATTTTCAGTGAAAACACTCTAACATCAAGAGCAGACTACCCCCCCCCCCCCCACCCCCCCAGCAAAAGATGCATTCACTGCACCATGTTCATGTTTCACAGCTAACTAAACCAACGCGGTATTAGCGGGACATCACGATACACTTTTAAAAACCGTCGTTGTAAAAGTAAGCATGGCTTTTTAATGACTCAGCTAGTTTGACCGGCCCCTTCAAAGTGCTTTACAGCCAGACGGTGCAAGGTCTCAGCTGTCTCTGTGGATAAGGCCTTCCCGTGTTCTCTTGCAGGGGAAGAGGAAATGAGAACGTCGAAAAGTGTTCCTGAAACTCACAGGAAGGTGAAGTGGCACTAACAAAGTTCACGGCGACAGATCCATCCGTCGTAAAACCATGGCTTCAGCTCAAGTCGTAAAAAAGAGGCTTGCAAAGCTACAGACAGAAGCAAAGTGCAAAGGAGATTACGGGGAAATGTTTTTAAACCACATGGCCAAGAGGTTAGAATGACGTGCTCCGTCAGTCCCTGTAGGAAGCTAAATCTATTTTCTGCTCGGCCCAGAGAGATGCTTATTATCCCCACTAGTCAGACATCCTGTTGGAACATGCTCGAGCAGCTCCAGGGAAAGAAAAAAAAAACCTGGCAAGGTCTTTCAAGATCCACTCATCCAGCTCCTAGTGTGATGTTTTCATGAATGCTTGAGTTTTGGTCCAAATCGGTTGGAACACTTAGACTTTTTTCTTGTGTGCGTCTCGTTGCAGTATGGCTCTGTAGGCAGGTCCAAACCATCGCCACGATGACAGTTCAAACCACATTTAAACAGTCCCTTTGATCAGTGGCATTTCAAGTGCTTCTGGAGGTGCTGCTTCTCTAGACGGTGTTTCTGGGGTCCGTAGATGCAATTAGCATGCCAGGAGAACCACATGATGATGGAGATAATGGTTGTCTGCAGGAGGAGCATCACACCATAAGTGGAAGCAATGGTAGGTCCAGGTAGACGTGAGGAGGGAGTTGGAGGCAGCAGCAGATCTGGACTGAGAAGGATAGCCCTCACCTCGGCTAGGATCATGTGAAGTTCATCCAGGATGGACAAAAATGTGCAGCAGTGGAACCACTGGTGACTGTGGCCCCAGATGTCGAAGCGGCCTGGGGCCAGCCGCTCAGGAACCTTACTGATGTTGAATAGCGCCGACACCAGCAGCCAGACACAGTGGCGGTAGAAGAAAGTGGACATCGGAGCGGAAGCAGCAAAGGAGGGTGAGGTGTTGGAGTAAGGTGATGTGGTGATGAGGCGGTAGAACACAGGCGTGGAGGAGATGAGGAATGGGAGGAGGAAAACCAAGGTCCGTATAATGTATCGATGCTCCCTCCACCTCTGACGGGTATTGCAGCAAGATAAGACGCAAATGATTGCTACGACACATGCACAAGGCATGTAGAAGGTCTCAAAGAACATACTGTGCTCTGGCATTGCATAAGATGCAGGACGTTGATCAGGCTCATGGTTCGAGCCCAACTGGGAACTGTTTTGGCCTCCTTTCGCAGCTATCCCCGCCCGAGGATGGATGTAGTAGTAGTACGCCAGGGATGAGCCGACTGTGTAGGCACTGATGGTGCCATAATCCACAAAAAAGCAAACCTCTCTGACTACCAGAGACATTGAGTTCAGCAGGTGGGCCATGCTGCTGGCCATCAGCAGACAGAACACCCCGATAAAGTAGGTCCACAGTGGATAGAAGAATGCGGCTTCAGCATCAGGTGCGCCATCCCATCCAAACACCTCCACAAAATAAAAAGCAAAAATAAAGACAGGCAGGAAGTGTGTCCAGAAGTTGCCCGTTTCATTGGTGGGCCTGAAGGCTGACCACAAGCAGTCCCTCAGGCTGTAGTTAGGAAAGCGGTAGCCGGTCAGGATGAAGTTTTCTGTAACGCGAGGCGGCACGTCCGTGTGACTCACGAGAGCCAACGGCTGACCACAGTTCACGAGCATAATGGCTACACACGTACTGTCACTGTGTGTGTGTGTGTGATGCTGTTGATCACAACGTGTAACAGGATGCAGCTGGTTTCCTATAGGTGGGTAAGGCTGTACAGATCCAGATCCATCTGGTCCACTCGTTCAGGTTTCAGGCCTCAAGAGCAGCCGGCAAACCCAAAAGGCAGAGCGAGCACTTGACCCATCAGCACGGAGAGGATGGCAGCAGTTCTCAGACAACTGGGCCTCTTTGGTTTTCACTGTGGTCCAACAGTCAGCTAAATGTCTACTTTTACACAGTTGATCTTCCTGCTGCCTTATTTTGCGTAGAACAGCAGAAAATGATCTTTGCTAAACTGTTTCCTCACTCAGGTGTCTTGTTTTGCATAGTTGTGAAGCAGCAAGTAAAAACGATGCTCCCCTTTCCCAGTTTTACCAGGCTGAAGAGCTCATCAGAGGCTTTCTGCTGGATCCGAGCAGCAGAGATGCGTCCATTAAGCTCCGTGGTATGTAGGTCATGCTTCTGCAGGCTCCTGCTCCTCCTGCCTTCGGTCCCCAAGCTTGGATCCAAGTCCGACGTCCGGTTCCTCCAGCCGGCTCGCTGCAGTGAGAAATAAATCCATTGGTAGAGGGGGAAACGCTGGGCGCCAGAATGAAGTCCTTCAGAGCAAGGTCACTTAAAAGCCGCCTCTTCCCGCAGGAGTCACGGGTCCAAAGCTGCGGTGGCAGCTGACGGAGAGCCGGCACCGCGCGAGGCACCCGGCATTTCTACTGAACGCGGAGGAACGGGAGGCTGAGTGACAGGTACACCGTCAAGGTGAACGCGCCACGGCACTGCGTTTCCTGGTGAGACTTTCAAAACAAAACACGAAGGGTTATGTAATAATTCTAAAGGTTGTTTCTATTCAAAATAAATCCAAGAGCTCTAAAACGTGTCATTTCACATGACCTGTTGAAACATAAGCACTGATAGGACCGGCAGATAGTTTTAGGTCTGAACTCACGATGGCCCCACAGATAAACTCCGTGGTGAGGTCTTGCTTTTATCAGCTTCGCCGCCTGACTCGCCTCAGACAAATCCTGAAACGGAGGCATTTGGAGTCAGTCATCCATGCCTTCATTACCTCTCGCCTTGACTACGCAAACGCCCTCCTCGTTGGTGCTCTGGTCTCTGCCCTGAATCAGCTGCAGGTCGTCCAGAACACTGCAGCCAGGTTCTTGACGAATACACACCCACGTAGCCGTATTACCCCTGTCCTGGAACATCTTCACTGGCTCCCTGTCATTTTCAGAGTTCAGTTTAAGTTATTGACTTTTGTATTTAAAGCACTCAACGACCTGGCACCCCCCTATCTCTCTGACCTGCTCACTCCATATGTACCCGCGCGCACGTTTGAGGACAAATGTTTTGGAGCTCTGATGAGTCCAGAGGGCAGCAGTGAGACAAATGGTGTTCATGAGAGCAGCTTCCTTTGCCTGTGTAAAATCCCATCCGCAGATTCAATACTGAACGTGTGTTTTTAAGTATACATTAGAGCTGTTTTAATAACGTGTACTTAAATAAAACATTTTAAAGCATTCATCTCAAAAATAACAATGAAAAATGTACCTTCTCGTTACAGAAGGTAACTTGTTACAGAAGGTTCTTGTTACAATGTCATTTAAAAATTCGTGTCTTAAACGTTTTTATTTTGAAAGGCAAACCGTGCAGTCTTCCGGTCTGGGTCTTGCTCAGCACGTGCCGGCGCCCGGCAGAGCGACGAACTAAGCACAGGTTCTGATCGGTGCCGTGTTCCCTCTCTGAGCTCACCGGGAGGACTGTCAGCGGCCTGGACACACAGCACGAGCTCACCGGAAGTTCGTGTCAGGCCCGTTATCTCTTTAAAAGCACACGCCGTCCCCGTTAAGTAATCCGTTATTGCGCTGCTCAGCCCCCCCCCCCCCCCCCGTCAGCTGGAACTTGGAGCGTGCCCCCCCCCCCCCTCCCCACCCTTTAATCTACAGCGTTACATAAGAGACTTTTTCTATTTTAAATGGTTCTTTTTAGAGTGATGATTACAAATCCATCATGGACGCTGCAGAAGGGACAAAACCAAGTTTACTTATCTGAGATGTAGAATGTGTGGTTTTCATAGGCTGTAAGCCAAAATAACCACTTCACATAAGGGTCCCTTTATTATTGTTAAATGTGGTGCATTATTAGGCATTAATAAACTATTATATAAAGGATTAACAACTGCTTATCATGAAATGCATTACTAAGTAGACATCCCCCTGGCCCTTTGTCCTAACCTTAAGGACACTTAAAGGTTAACAATACCCTTAATACACTGTAAAAAGAAAAAGTTGATCCAACTTAAAAAATTGCTTCAATCGGTAACAAGCAATTTAATTAAATTCATCCAACTTAAATCATTAGTACAATTAGAATAATTTAAGTTGGATAAACTTAATTAAATTGCTTGTAACCAATTGAAGCAATTCAATTAGGTTGATTAAACTATTCTCTTTTTTCAGTGTAAAAGGACCCGTATTGTAAATTATAAAAATTATCAAATTATAACAAATTCAGGATTGAAATAACTTGCTTTGCATGTAATGAGTCTATTCAATTCATTTTGATAAAAACAAAATGTCGTTAAATGTCAGCAAAACAAAGTTTATGTTATTTGGAAATAAAGGAAATGGTAATGAGATCCACTTGACTGTTAATGAGATAGCCATTGAAGGAGTGTGTGAAATTAAGTTTTTGGGGATCTTGATTGATTATAAGCCGCACATAGAATGTGTGTGTTCTAAACTAGCTAGAAGCGTTGGGATAATAAATAAAACGAGGTATTCTCTACCACAAAAAGTACTACACACACTTTACTGTACAATGATATTGTGTCGAGGTATGGGGTAATACTTATAAATTAAATTTATTAAAGATTTGTGTACTCCAAAAAAGATGTCATGTTGGGTTGTAGTTTTTTGACCCACGGCATGCAGAATCACGCAACAGGCAGAAGGTAAGTAAAACTTGTTTATTTTTAGTTCGGTGGAGATGCAGATGAAGATCGGGATTCGGGAGGTTCTGATGAAGTTCTGAAGTAGAAAAGCAGAGTGAGTAGTTGCAGGTCAACGGGCACAACGCGTAATGTGAGTTGTCTTACGGTTTCCTGGTTGTTGGGGAGAGTTTGAGAGGAGGGCAAGTCGAGGCTGCCTGAGGTGGTCGGGTGAGAGGCAGAGGAAATGGCTGGGAGCCGAGCACCGGAGTCCAGGGTGTCCTGATGGCAGGTGAGGGTTGGAGAGCAGGCGGTCAGGGGCGAGCGACGGGCTGGTGAGCAGGATAGATCCGGTGAGTCTATGGCTTGATGATGGAAGCTGGCTGATGAACGGGAGGTACCTAATACTGAGTAATCATCCGGCACTGATGAATTGTCTCGACACTCCTTAAATCCCCTGACCACTGATGAGAAGATCAACAGCAGCTGCTCTCCGGACACGCCCACCTGCACACAGAAGAACTCAGCACAAAACAGGTGTTAACTCAGCACAGACCATGACAAAAGATAAGGTAAGGTAAGGATAATTACTGATTCAGGATTTAGAGATCACACGACGCCATTATTTTACAATTTAAGATTACTCAATTTTTTGACTTAATTCATTTCAAAACTGTCCTAGACCCATATAGCTGCCATGATGGGTGTACTACCGGGTAATTTGCAAAGGATGTTTAAAACAAAGACGGTTATCAACTAAGGGGCGTTCAAAACTTTATGTTTCCATTACATCGAACGACAGTGAAAAGTATGTGTGTATCTGTGTGTGGTATCAAACTGCGGAGCAAACTCGATGTGACTTTAAAATCATGTAAAAACATTATATTATTTAATGCAGTATAAACAACGTATAATTGACTCATACATAAACAGCAAGTGATATTTGATAGTGAATGATCTATTTTGTTTGTTTTGTTTTAATTTGTTCCTTCCTTTTCTGTAGATTCACGTGAACAACTGTTTTGTTATTGTACTTTATCATGTAGTATGCTGATGATAGAATGACCTGCATGAAAAAAATGTTCAACTTTGTATTTGCTACTGTGAACAAACGTTATTTAAGTTAAACGAAATGGGGCTGGACTAGATAAGCTTTTGCTTCTTCCAGTCCCCTCTCAAGCAGTTTTATGTTACTGAATGTTTTGTTTTGTTTTTCTGTTTGTTTTTTATTCATAAGCATATGTTAATTTTAATCCATATTTTGTCTTATTTTATGCACTAGGAATATGGCTGAGTGCATGTGCAGTTTAATGTTTTTTCAATGGTTTGAGATAAATAAAGGAAAAGAAAATTTAATGAAATTAACAGTTTATTGCCTTCTAGCCCGCGATTTTGAGAAGTCAAGTGGTCGCACAAGGCACGCTGTGCCGCGTCACGTCGCTGAGCGCTTCTTGGAAAGTCGAACAATAGTCACAGCATCTTGATAACCAGACACGGAGACAAACAGGGTAAAAGACTCTAAGTTTAGCAAATTTCAAATCCTTTCGTCTGGAGGAAAGAACCACTATAAATCTGGTCATGTGGTGAGTAGCAGCTACGCTAGGGGGAGGAGACTCTGTGGTGACGTCACAGCATATGTGAGATCCAGGGCGTAAGGCGAAGCGGGATAGACTTGCATTCCTTTTTTCATTCTTCCAGGGACCCATGAGCCTACTGGAAAGGGAGGAGACTTTTACCCCAAAATTCCACTATCTCCGCTCCGCCCCCGCCCTCCGCTGCCGCTCGCTTCCGAACTCAAATTTTACTATACCCGCTCTACAACGGCTCCGCCCCGGTGCGGAGACCTGAGGTGCGCAAACAGGCGTGCGCGGGATTTTCGAGATCTTGCGATACAGTCCGAGCAATAAACGCGGAAGTTAGATCCAAACACCCGTTGTGTGGGAGAAGCATCGGCATGAACTGTTTAATCTGCCCATCATTTGTGTTGAGAGATCAGCAGTGTTTGGATCAACAAAGGGCGACTACTTTGATAGTAGAAACTGTATTTATGGCTTATTTTTGTGCATTTAAAGTTCAGTCGCCAGTGATAGTTGTTAAAAGTTGTTAAACCTGTGCATATGAAACAAAAAACGCCTTTTGTTTATCGATTTATTGTGAAATAACGGAAGTTGTGCTTGCTCCCTTTCCTGTTGGGCGGTTGTGGTTTCTGTCCATTGACTGCGGAGATGCTCCGGCGTCCGGCAAAAATAGAATTGATCCTATTTTTGCCGGATGGCGGAACGGCGGGCGGCGCACGGCGCCGCACGGCCGCAGTAGTGGAACAGCTCTGATTGACCACAACGGGACCGTTTTTGCTGCGGAGTTCGTGCCGGAGCGGAGGTAGTGGAATTTTGGAGTTAGGGTGTTTCTCAATGCCAAGGAACCTTGGCTTGATGTCTTGGCCCAGCCCCGGTTGCCTAGAAGACTTTTTGTAAGCCATTACAGCAGCTGGACATAAAATGCTTTAATAGTTTCAACCTGCTTCAACACACCTGATTTCAATCAGCAGGTGATTAACCAGCTTCTGCAGAGCCTGATGAGCTGTTGAACAGGTGAATCAACCACTGAATCAGACGTGCTGGAACAGAGACATGCAGGATACCGGCCCTCGAGGATCAGGGTTCCCCACACCTGATCTAAAGGATGACACCTGTTGGTGTCACGGTGCACGGGTGAGTTGAGCGGAGGTGAGGATCCAAGCGCGGCAAAGAAGGCAGGCAGGCAGGAACGTTTAAAGGGTTTTACGTAATATTTT